ATTACAATCCTCTTCTTCCCCTCGGTAACAGAGATGCCATTTTTATTATTGAAATTTATTCTTAAACTGACGTTTTTGGGCTCAACTTCTGTATTTTTTCCAACCTATTTACCGTTTATGTATCCAGAATTCTTCCATAAAAACGTCGGTTCTCTTATAAGATTCTTTTCTTTTCTCTTGTTTAAGTTAGGCGTGAATTAAACATGGTCAACACATACATACACGCCGTTTCAAGGACTGGAGATAATGGAGAGTTAACGACGCGCGTCGCACGCGAGTGTCTCTCGATTCCCCTCGTTCCAAACTTTCGAAATCACGTACCACGGCATTCGCAAACGCTTCTCGCGCACCAATACTTTCTCGAAAGTTGGTGCAACAATGTGAAAGAAGAAACCTTTAAAGTTAGAGCAAAATTAGAGCGGACCGTGTTCTATCTCGGCACCGTCGCGTCGCCGCGCAGCTTGTGGTTACTCCGGTTACTCCTACGGCCCCGGCGCGGAACTTTTCGTTTCATCCCGGTGATTTTTGGAAAATTGGCTTAGCGAAAGCGAAACGAGCGGGACAACGCTACCGCTTGCGCGCGGCGAGATGCTTCACCCCCCGGTGGGTAGTTACGGGAACCTCCCTCGGACATACGCCGTCGCCGTAAGCGTAAAATATCACGAAGCGTCTCTTATACTTTCGCAAGGGTATTCCGGTATATTCTCATTTTCGCGCTAGCGCCGAGGAACGTTCAACTTCGCAAGATTCTTTTCGTTCACGCAAGTTACACGATAATCGATTAATAATATATACGAAGTGTATATGTGTGTGTGTGTGTGTGTGTGTGTGGGGCACGTAATATAACACCAGACTGTATTACGTGTGCACACGAAATCTTCAATTTCGTTAGAAAAATATTAATTTATCGTATTTTTATTCCTGGGAAAAATTATTCGAATATATATAAATCGCAAATTAATATATAATCGCTTTTTTTATGATTATGAACAAAGTTTAATGCTAATTAATGCTAACTTTCATAAAATTATTTTATGAAAATTATACAATTTTAAATATAATACATTCACTGTAAATTTTCAAGTTAAGATTATTGTGTCTTAATTCTTTTAAGACCCTAAAAATTATTTAATAAATCACAGATATATAAGTTAATAGATATTTTTAAAATGTTGAGATCCTAAATAAATATATTCTTTACATGAATGTAAACTGAGAATAAAATTTTGCTACAGTCATTGCATTTTCAAAGTTTATTCGTGAAAATCGACATTTTCACTGAAGTAAAGAAATATTTTGTTCCATTTGGCTTACTTGGCAAAGTGTATTTTCCCTACCTTAGCAAAAACATGGAAAGAACTGGGGAAAATCTCTATTCGCAAAGATTATCGCGCAATGCATACCGAGCATGGACCGAGCTCAACAACTGTCTCTGCTGAAACTACCGTGCTACTGTTTACCGCTATCGCCTCGTGCGCTTTTTTCCAACGAGGCGCAGTGGAGCGACGAGCCTAATCGAATGCGCGCATCCTCGTTAACCCCCGTTCCAACTGGAGTTGCACGACGGAGAACGACGGGCTGTATTATCTAAAATTCCGAAATAACCAGGCAAAATCGTAAAACTGTATTGCCAACAACCGCGCTGCCAAAGGCTGCAATGGCAAAGGTACGAAGCGAACAAAGGCGAACCGCACTCACCGATGTTTTTCCGTTGTATCATAAAAAGACGTGAGGCGAGACCGTCCAAACGGCCATGCGCTCTTTCTATTTGTCGAACGAAGAAGTTCATCGCCCCGGGGGCGAACGAAACCTAAACAACGAGAAGAACACGAGACCTGACGTGAATTTCCAGCATTTAATTTATCCCGCTATTGCGTCCGACGTCGCAGACAACCGTTTATCAGTACTACTTCTTCTCTCGTCTTTCTTTCTCTCGAGCGACTGTGAAGTAATTGCATCGCTAATCAAATAAATGGTCAATACATATACAACACATGTCACTCACTTTGCTACAACAACGATATAATTAAAAAATTGTCATTTTTAAGTCGTTTGCAAAAAAATAGTGAGAGTTTAATACGCTAAATGAAGAGTCAATATATATGGAGTTAAATATTCTTATTCCTCTTCAGTCAGTTATTAATTTAAAATGTTCATCAAACTTTATTTTCTGGAAATCTGTGTTTTTTTAGTTATGTCATTGCTGCAGCGAATGAGCGATATGTATAATGTTGGCAACAAATTTGTTATCAGTATTTATAATATTCATAATTTATGCGTAGCAGATTTGAATATATTTTTTTCATCCCGATCAACACTATATGAAGTTATTTTTACTGTATTTTATTTATATTTATTGTATTTTACTTATTTTTTATTTTTCGTTTTATCGTGTGTTCCTTACTTTTGACAATTCGAATACTTTAAATAAAATTCGTAATTTTATTTTTAATTAGACTTTCAAGTCATTCAAATATATCTAATGCAGTTTTATTTATCTGAAGCGAAAATGACAAAATTTTATTCGCATTTAATATTCAAAATGTTTTGGCTATAGATAAATTGATTGTCTTTTTTATTTGCATCTTTAAATTACTTAAAATATTCGAATTTCTCATTCAATTTACGATCTAGATATTTAATGATATTAAAATATTAATATCTGGAATCCGTCCTAATGTTACTCTACATTATTATTCATAAAGCTCAAATCTTGCGTAATTCGCATTATGTTTCCATTATACGTCATTGTTAACAAAGCTTGAATCTCGTGTTCGCCATTATAGCGTAATACACCTATTGTTAACAAAGTTTGAGCTACACGTCCGACAGAATGCTCGTTACTCTTGCACTGTGCGATTTCGCCACTGATTTACAGGAGGAGATAAATTTTTTTGAATGACCCAACGGTAGCGAATTCGAGCGTCGCCGAATGCGCGCGGGGCGAATGTGCCCAGCCAGCTAGCTCGACCGTAGCGATCGGCATGTCCCAAGGAGATTTGTTAACTTCTGGCAAACAGAAGTTTATCAATAAAATTGCTTTCACGGTGTAATACGGTGCTGGAGCACCGCCAAATTCGGCTATCCGGCTACCCTGTGCGCGCGCTTTACGGCGGTTCACACGCTCGCACACATTTGCGGCTTGACCGATGCGCCTGCATGCGACTCCAGTGTGCATATTTAGAATGCACCGTTCGCTTTAATCATTTAGTAACTCGACATGGTAATTACGTTGGCCCTGGTTAATTCCATGCGCAAATATCCGCCGAGTTATTATTTTGTGCTGGACGTTATTAATTTCCGGCTGCATATATAGTTAAACGACTAACTGCAGGCTTGTATTGTATAATATATATCATGCAGTTATTTTCATATTAAACCCCATAACTTTCTCAACGTAGTAAAGAAATCCATGGCCTACTTTCTGGATCAAGTAACAACTTCTTATATATCACCATGTTTTTCGAATAAGACATGAGATGTAGAAAGTTAAATTAAAAAATGACATAAAATAAAATAATTCAATGTAATATTTGAGAAATAATATCTGAATATTTAGATATTGAGATACTTCTTCTATTTATTATTACTATTTATATGTTAATGTTTTATCATTTTTTAAAGAAATACCATCATTGTATCGTATTCCATCTACATTGCAATGTCTCAATACATAGAGTCCAAAAGATTTACGAATCATATTATTTTTCACATTATTTTCTACTATTAAAGTACAATAGTAGAACATTTTGTATATATAATACATATTTTTATACAAAAAACAATTTAATATTAATTTTATAAATAAAAAAATAATTATTTTCACTCATTATAATTTTGATTAAGAATTTAAATACTAATTTAGATCATTAACTAATTTTATTCATGTACAACTTATATGTAAGAATTTAGGTAAACACTTATAATTTTTAAAGACGTTCGAGTGTCTAAATATAATCAGATATTATTTCTCAAATATTACATTCAATTTTTAAATGCAACTTTTAAAAAACATGGATGATTTGCGCGAGCGACCGCCATTGAAACATTACGTTGCAAAGTGCGTATTCGAATAAAGTAAAACTTTTAGCATGTTAAATCTAACTTCGATTCACGAACGCGATGCACTAGACGTGCCGAAACTGCAAGTAACAAGATTGAACGTTAGAGAGGTTTCGCCTCACCTGAGATAAGGATGTTAGGGCGTTCCAGTATTGGAGAACGGGATCGTCACATCGAGAAATTAACTGACAGCTCCTGTTCGAGCATTGGTGAGAGTGAAGCTTCACGCGAACAACAACATTGAATCCTCAATCGTGTAAATGCAGTTTATTTCGCACATCAAGCAAGTCATACGAACTTTCGAGGCAGTTATGCGCGGTTTGGCATGCCATATATGTATAGATACGTTAACACGAAGTTTCCCGTCAATATAGTGGCCACTTGCTCGCATAGCACAAGCTATTACCTTAAACTATTTGACTTTTATTCATATCACTAACTGATGTGATATCTAGTTTTTTCTAATTTCTTAGTTTTAATGTTCTGATTTATACGCTATTAATAAAGAAGCAATCTTTTAACACATTTTTTTCGTTTCTTTAATTAGAGTGAGAGAAAATTTTCTTGTAATAAAAATATATTGTGGTAAAATCTTTGTGATTTTGGATTTGTTAATTGCATAGTATTTAAACTAAATTTTGAAGAAGCTAGAAAGTTTATCATGTTTATTCTAAATGTATATGCAGGTGTAAACATTTGTTAAACTTTAAAATTACTTTTGCAATATTTTACTTATTGTTAGATATGCGAATATAATATTAATCGACAACACTTTCAATTCTAAATAAAACAAAACTTTAAAAATTGCGTCACACTCTGATGGACGCTGAGTAACGATAAAAATAGCCGATCTTCAGGAGAAAATTTCTGAAGCGAGCAAAGGATGACGGAATCTCATGTGATTCAACGAGTATTTCCGATTCAATTATGAAACTCACCTCGTTTCGAGGCGTGGAAACTATCCTGTGGCTGTATCACCTCGACCTGGGCGCTGAGGCGAGACTTGGGTAGGATGTCTCGGTTGGCGTTGATCTTCTCCGCGGCGTAGCGAAAGGCCACTTCCTGCTTGTCGTCCGACGGATGAAACAGCCCGCCTGGGAAATCACGCATCCATATTAAAGGGTGCTACTTTGACGAGATCCACGCGCGTGCACTCCTCCTTATTTTCCGCCCACGACCGCCATCACAAAGATATCTTTATCCAACCTTCTATCTATCTGCTTCTCCGTGTCCACCGGCGCGCGATAAAGATTTATGGTCTATTTACACCTTCGCGAGATGATCCCGACTAGAGCCGTGTTTCGTGTAACTTCACTGCTTAATGTATTTTATGCGCATGTGTTTACATGTTATATCTATTCAGCGTTTTTGAAATAATTCTGACGTCTTTGGCATAATTGAAAAGAATGCTTTAATATTTAAATTTAAATATAATACATTTTAATAGATACAGTTTAAAAAATTGCATTATTTTGAAAAAGTTATATTAAGTTCGAGTATTTTCTTATTCGTAAAATGGGTTCTAACAGATTCTAAAATTTATTGTCTCTTATTAAGGAAAGAAAGATATCACTTGAAAAAATTTATCTAGCGCCGGGATAACATCACACAAATAACGGATTTGTAAAAAAAACGAAATATAAGAAAAGAACGAATAACAACGTTACATTATAGTCCAACTGCTATGCAACGAAATTGGACTGAAGTTCGTAAAATATCTTTGTACTTAAAATGATAGTATCTTAACACGGAGAAAATTTTATATTAAATATTACTATGGTGTCGCACTAGCTGCGGACCATCGAGGAATTAGAAGTTAAAATACTATGTTTATGGTCAAAATTACGTTATTTAATTGTCTTTAAAATAATGATTATAGTATTTTAACTTCTAATTCCTCGATGGTCCGCAGCTAGTGCGACACCATAATGATATTTAATATAAAATTTTCTCCGTGAATCGAAAGTTTCTACATGCAAACACAGATTCATTTTTATTCGATCGTGGAAAGTGACGCATGTAACTGCACGTTGCATCCGTTGGCGTTTCTATCGTTTCACATTGCATAAGTATTCCCGACAGTTTCTTCGTGTGGTCCGCTGAAATTCCGCGCCTTCCAATTCATTCGGTTAGGAGAAATTGGCGCCATAAATTGATTTTAATCTCGTGTACGTCATAAAGTAACTGTACGAGCAGCTGCGCCGGCTTGACTCTGCGATTTATAGAATTTGCGGGATAGATTTACGTCTCTCGTTAGCGACCCGCTATCGATTCTCTTTGGCGCAACGAGGTAAGGTTGCCCGATTCGCCACGCTCATTGTGACAATAATAAGCCTAATAATGCGAACGAGAGCAAAAATGTGAAAATATATAGCTTGAAAATGTAACGCGAAGAAAGAAAGATGAACGCACAGTATTCACAGCAGGAGAATAAATTCCGTCGTGATTTTCTTGCCAGATTTATACGCGGAAATAAAATTAGTACACTTGTAAAACTTTTGTCAAGGAAAGAAGGAGAAGTGAAAGCTAGCAGATGTGATTAAAAACGCGCAATAACGCTGTACGTATATAGACACCTATGTGATCGATATATCAAGTCGGTCGTAAAATCATCGCAAAACATCGGTGAAAATACGTTTATGTAAATTAGATGTTATTTTTTTTCGGCCCGGTTTCGCGTTGAATTAATTAATCTCGAATTCATTAATCCGCTAATGAATTTCGCACAGAATGATCGGGGATATCAATAACCCGTCGCTATTGTTGTTGCAATCATTACGATGCAATAAAAATGTTAAATTGCTGCTCAAAATATACATTGAAGCTTATTCTTAGTGTTCCTCGTGTCAAGCTATACGCCATTTAATTACACGTGCGAATAAACGAACTTGCCACTACCGGTTGACGCAAATAAATCACGAAAATTATACACGACCACGGGAGCGTGCTGCTTTTAATTTTCGCGTCGATTTGATGGCCTCCGAAACAACGTTTATAATAACGTTGAATTCAAAACGAGCGAATAATGAGCTATTGTTCTAAAACAAAAGATTGCTTGTAATCCTGATTACAACGGTGCGTGAAAGACAGCTTTGTGAGCGTATAAATTATAAACCCGATTACATTTTTCAGTGTGACTATTTTGTGCGTAATCCGTTATACGTAACAAGCATTCATTAATACACGTGTGAACTGCACGAGAGCAAATTGAAAAAGATTTGCATATCGTATTATTGCATATTTTTATCAGAAACGAAAACAGATTTTTATACTCCTCCATGTCAGCTATTCAATTTGCAAACATAATTTTCTTTAAAAGAAAGACTATGCAATTGTGTGACCAGCAATAACAATGGAAAAAGCAGATGGAAATACAGACGACGGAAATACTACAGAAGACGCGGCAAGAAAGTTACGGATATTGAACTGGTACTGAAGAAGATGCTGAAAAAAATTAGAAAACTAAGAAATGTGAAACGCTTAAAATTCAATCGGCGTAATGTAAGTTAAAAGAATTTCTAGTCTTATCTCTCCTTCTCTCTTTTTCTTCCTCTCTGTCTGTCTATATATAATATCGTACTCTTTCTTCGTAAATTTCTTCCTTTTCCAGCTTTCATACAGAAAGCTATATTGGCCATATACGGCATTGGTGATATGCCACGGAACAAGCGTATACGGATGTTAGTACGAACGAATGCATCAAAACTCGCAGCAAGTACAGCACGTATCTCCCTGAACTCGGACATGTATATCGATCCACTTTTGCTTCTCTCTCGCTACCACGGAAAAGAAAGCGTTCGGAAATCGAGTGTATCATGAATTCACGTTTCGATAAAAGTTCAGAGTATAGTCGTGCATTCACGTACATCCGCGTGTATGTCCGCGCGTCGTAAACGTCGACAGGAAACGACAATCATAATGTTAAACAGCGACGTGACGGTTTCGCATGTGCGTGAAATGTACGAACTGTTGTTGTTTTATCATATTTTCAAGATATAAGGTTGCAAAAAGCTTATATACAAATAAAACGCTTCTTTTATGAACAATTTATGTTTCCTCTTATTGCGAACGTGATTGGTCGTCTCGATTCAGTCGATTGATCGAGTGTACAAATGTGTGTGTGTGTGTTTTTTGCATAGATAATAACAAATAAACAACATCACAAAGCGTACACGAAGCGCGCGCTATAATCATAGTGAAATATAAATCAATGATGTGCAAATCAATGATTTTCAGATGTAAAAATATCATGGCTGATATAACGTTATATTATCATTAAATCCTGATAACAATAAAGTTATTCAACTAATTAATTAACTAAAGATTCTCGATGTTAAAATTAACGAGTAATAAGGAAAAGTGAGTTTTGAAAGCCAAACGGTTAGTCGTGCGTGAATTAACGCTAAATTAAATAATAATTTCCTACGAAATATAAATTGTACGTTTTAGCTCTACTTTGAGCCATCTTCGGCGACCTGGTGATAAATAAATTAAATAATTTGAAAGTTTAAGTTCAAATACTATACAGATTGTAAATATTGGCAGAATTTTTTTGGTATTTTCTCTTAAAAATTACAATATTTTGGACGTTCAATTTTTAAATACTCACCTTATGCTCATCGGAGAGCTGGATATTATTTAATTTATCTATTACCGCACCGCTGAACATGGCTTAAAGTAGAATCAAAACGTATGATTTATAATTTATAGGAAATTATTAATTGAATGTTACATATAGCGTTAATTCACGCACGACTAACCGCGTTTGATTCTCGAAGCCCACTTTTCCTTGTTGCTCGTTAATAAAGTTATTAATTTTGTTTGTAAGCAACGATAACGTGTATATCGATTGATGTAACAGAAAATCTACGTTCCATTAAATAGATGAAATTTTATTTTCTATTAGAAAGTATGGATGAAAGTTTTATGATCGCGTAATTTTCTGTACACAAAGTTAATATGTCTGGTTTTCATGTAATAGCAACCAGAAGCTTTTGCAACAAAATTGTAAACTATATTTTTAAACCCGCTCGTATAGGAATAGAAATGTATAAAAATATTCTATAATATAAAAAACAAAAATGTAACATAGTAACGAGATATTTTTTAGTATTATATATAGAATTTTTTTTAGTATTATATTATAAACTAATCATAAAATAATATTATCTATATTATTTTATTATTAATTTCTAATATATTTTAATAGTTATATAAAAGGCCAATACTTGCTTATTTTTTTTATTGTAACAAAATATAAATTGCAATTATACAATTTTTTATGTAAATACTTGCAAAACACGTAAAAACTTGGAAACCTTTAAAAATTTTCTCGATTTAAATTATGTAAAATTATTGCTTAGCCACTGTCTATGTGTAAAAAACTTAAAAAAAATGTATTATATGTTTATTGTAAATTTATATGTTATTCTGGCCGCGAGATTTTGCAGATTTTCGCGACTTGTAAGCGAAATGTGCTATCACCATGTCTGTCGTTCACAGAGCCAGCTACTTTCAATATACCCGCAGGCAGATGGTTAGCGACATTTAACTGTGAAATACCTCTTGTTTATATATCCGCTACATGCACAACACTACACGCGTGGTTGGTATTGGAGTGATTTTCTCTCTGACGCGCAGCAACCAGAACTTCGGTAATTGTCGTCGCACACGGTAAAATGCGTGTTATCCGCGTCACGTTGCCTGTGTTCCACTTGCACTACCATCAATGCCAATTAAATAAAGCACCGTTAGTAGCGCAGCCTTTTATCGTTGCCATTAATTTCAATTATTTGCTTGGCCGGAAAAACATTTTCACGAAGCCACTATAATTTAACGATATTTGGCGATTGTCTACGTCTACGTAGTATTATGTAAACCAAGAATTGTAGATTGAAAGCACAAGGTGATATAATTAGTCGAAAAATAGCTTTTTTTTAATAAAACTTTAAAAATTTAGTTAAATACCTGTTTTAATTAAACACTTGATTATAATAAAGATCGACATAAAAAAGAAATATAAAAAATAAAAAAGATAACACATAGTGATGTTATATATAAGCAAACGATAAAGTTAGAAAGATTAGAGAGATTAGTATTTTCATATACATATATTTAATTGTATAGTTCTTTTTAGGGATAAAACAAGATTTTACATGAGTATATCATTCCAAGTCTTTTTACGTTAAAAAAAAACTGGCACTTGCTTGAATCATTGCATGATTAACTATCTCAATAACTATCATAATATTCCATCAAGTTCACTTGAGATTAACTGAGAAATAAGATTTCATCTGCTTATAATATTCGCAAATCTTCATCTTCGAATATTATCTCGAAAAGTCGCGCTACCTTTTCTTCTCGTGGATATTATCGATCGGGACATTGATAATAATTTTACTGACGCCATTGAATGCGGTCGAAAGGGTCACGGCTTTCACACCGAGGGAAACTGGGAAAGATACTCACCTATCCTAATGAAATCAGGAAGAGCCGCGGCGTGGGCGGCGAGGAGCGCCAGCAGCAGTAGCAGCCACCTCGCAGCCATTTCCGGTTCCGGTTCACCCCGCCGTCTTCCCCTGCGCCCTCCGTCGTAGCCTCCACCGCCGCTGCCTGGAGCCCCTCTCTTCCTCTCTCTCTCTCTCTTTCGCTCTCTCTTATTTGCTCCTTCCTTTTCTCTTTGTCCTCCCGCAGGAATTTACGCCACTGGAAAACAAGATTGGACAGCGAGTTCATTAAAATGCACGCCGCAAGTCTTCGTATCCGGTCTGAATATCTGCCTTCGTTTACAAGAGAATTGTATTTTAAACGCGCCGCGACGTCACCAATTGCCGACACGAAATCAGCGATGATTCAGGAATGTCACTCCCTTGTAAGGATTGGAGAGCAATAGAAGGGTCGACGGAATTGAGGGATAATAGGCTATTAGGACATCAATGCCGCGATATTGAACGCGGAATTGTAGGAATAAGATATCACGAAACGTTAATCAAATTAAATAATATATACATATAGATAATATATAATCTAAAAAACGCGGGATACTTTTATTGTATAACGTATCTTTATTGTTAAATATTTTACAGTGACAAGACGAGTCAGTTGATACACGCGACACTCGGCACTCGGTTTTCGGTTCTCGTTTTTCTGCCGCGCGGCGTGACGCTTTATGTACACAAATTCGATACGCTCGGCGCTCCACCACTTGGAAAGCAAAGAGCACGATATTTCGACGTGTAATATTTATTTTACAATACATTAAATATTTTCTACATAGAATAGGCTAGGATGTGGCTTTGGTATGTGTGTTGTGACGTACACAGTGTGCTGTATACGTACACTAGGTCACCGCGCTATCACTCTCCCTTCGATACTCGAGTGATAGCGAGCCGAGTTGCGTATTAGCCCTCGACCCTGTAATTGTTCCCCGCGAGCAATTAATGATACCGAACTTTGACATTGCGATTAATTAACTCTCACGATTAGGAGCTCGTAACGGCATTACACTATGCACGCATTGGCATTAATAACGTCGATTTATAAAGCAGTGTTTCGCGCAATTTATGTTCATCTCTATCAATGTAGATTGACTTTAATCTCGGCTTGCTTTTTATTGTCTTCTAATTTTCAAAACTAAGAAAAGATTTAAAAAGTAAGTATAAGTTAAACCGAAATTAAAGTTACGTTGGTAGAAATAAACATTAGAGTCGTTTAAAATAGAAATTCAAACGTTTCAAATTTTTCGTTTAAGTACAAATTATCTATTACTATTTCCGAATTGAGAGCAAATCATCGGATCGAATGATTCAAATAACGAAAAGCCATGTATCATTTATTAATTATATATTTCACGTATTTCGCAGGATTGCACGTCGCGTTCAGGCAATGTTGGGAATGTCATGCAAAATGCAGAGTGATTATCGTACTCTGATAATTAATACGCGCGCAATCATGATTAACAGCGTTTCCGTGAATGTTATGTTGAGTTTGTGCTTCGAGAAACCCTGAGAGAAAGGACGAGACTTGAGAGATACCGAATAACGGTGGAGTTCGTCATGGAGTAAGTTTACATTATTTGTTACTTGCAAAATTAATTGGCTAGATCATTTATTTAAGTGATTTAAGTAAGATCTTTTGGGACAAAGAATAATATTTAATAAGGTTTACAAAATTTTATAAAAATTAAAACCTGAAAACAACTTTTTTCGAAAACTATAACTATTTTATAAAATATCTTCTTGCAAAGTAACATGCAAATAAACAGTTTGATGTGTAAAATAACAATTTTTTGAAATGTTATCTGATTTAAATGCTGTTGTAATACATTTCACATTTGTATTTTCACATCAGCAACGTAGTTGAAATGTAGCTACAACTCCGCTGTTGCACGTCGTGCCGGTGAATGACAAATTATCTTTTATTTTAATTTGAAGTAATGGTTCTGTTAATGGTACACATAAATATAACATCTCACAGAACCATTGCTTTGAAATGAATGGATTGAGAGAGATTAATGCAAATGTTTAACTCTGGAATATATATAAACGTCTATTGACCCATTGCATATTGAAATGTACGCGTATATAATAAAGCTTACAGAACAGAACTTATTGTTATCGATATGTTATTGACTAGTTAGATTATTTACTGGTACAAAGTTTAATGCTGTATTAAGCAGTAAAATAATTATTGCGCACGTAAAGTGTATAAAAATTATAGAAAATTTAAGCTTGTAAAATAAAAAAACAATAGGAAGTATTTCAGTTAAAATATGCTTAATAAAAAGTGTTAAATAACAATAAAGAGTTATTTTTCCAAAAGAGTAATTAATTCTAAATCCGCTAAAAATATATTTTACATTATTTATTAAGCTATATGGATTAGAAATATATAGATTTTCGGAAAACAGAATTTCAGAAAGTAAGAACCCAAAGATAAAATATATTAATAGATAATATTTATAGTAAATAGTATTTAATATTAACCCTTAAATGACCAGTGGGGTCCAGCGGGCCCCCAGACCCTTTAGAATAAAATGTTTTCAAATGTTCTTGCCAAAAATGGAGCTCATGCTCCCATTGATGATAGTTGAGTGATTGACCTACCCGTGTGTACACTTAGCAGTACTCAGTTTACTTAATTTTTTATACAATGTCGAAATTGAAATTTGAACAATATTAGCATTTTATACTCTTCTCTAGACCTTGAACAACATTGAAAAAAATGGTCATAACTAAAGATCAAAAAATCAATGAGTAAGGAGATATTTTTCATGCTGGGGTCTTTTAGACCCCTCAGTGAACTTATGAGATTCTTGAGAGGTGTGGCATTTAAGAGTTAAGAGCACGCACATTGTAATTAATAGATATTATATTTCTGAGTTTATTCATTAGATAAATAATGAGAAATAAAGAAAGTAAGTAGAAACAAATAAAACTATAACAAATATATGTATAAAATATTGATGTATTTAAAATATAAAGCTTTTATCGAAATAACTTTATGGTGCTCGTACATCATGATCAATGAAAAGCGGAATGAAATATTCACTCTTTCTCCATGTCAGTAACTTTATGTGAAATAAAAATTGTATATTAAATATCTATAATCTATATCTATACATATAGTAAGGAAATATTATTAATATTTAGATACGTTACTTTTCTTCTTTCCTCATTTTAATATTTTTTTAATAGAAGGTCTTTCTGGTATTGATATCTTTTTCCAAAATCAGATTAATTATATAAATTGAAATGCAAGAAAGTAACATTCAAAATTTTTATAATTATTCCAGAGTTGACCAGTTACGTGTAATTTATTTTAAATAATAATACTTAAATTTATATTAAAATACAGTTCTTATATTGAATCACATTAAAAAAAAAAAAAAAAAATACTGATAGCGCGTAACGTAATAACGAGATATTCATATCAACATAAGAGTTCATGAAAATATACAAGATATATTAGATAATATAGAAGATATAAAAATTCAATCCGACTGCAACATTGATTGTATCTATCAGACGTTTCGAATCTTATATCATCTCTCTTCCTCTCTCTCTCTCTCTCTCTCTCTCTCTCTCTCTCTCTTTCTTCCTCCCGCTCTCTCTTTCTCTGAGCATTATCAACCGTGACATATCGAACTTCAAACTTCAAACGAATTCCGAAAGTTTTTTTCGGCTTATAAGTTTGCTTGCCAATTTATAAGTTGATACTTTTGTTGCATCGTCGTTATTATAAAGTACGTTCATTTTTCATGCCACGTAAATTGGTCACAAATTTATTCTGCTAATATCAATATTTAAGAAATGTGGAAGCGAACAAAGAAAAAATAGAACTTTTCTTTACCTACGATATACATATACAAAATTAAATTAAACTATAAAAAAATAAACCGTTAAATCAATTATTATTTTTGAGCAAAAGGTTATTAAATTTATAACAAAAGATACGCAATGAAAATCATTAAGGACGTAGAGGTAAAAATGTTGCGCAGCAGTTATTGCTTTTTTCTATTGCGACTATTGTATAGCCCATGGTAGTGTGAAGTAAATTAAACAGTAGAAAAAAGCGGCACGAGTAGTTATGGTTGACCCCGGCATAGGTAGAACGACCATAATAGACGTATAAATATCTCTCTCTCTCTCTCTCTCTCTCTCTCTCTCTCTCTCTCATACATTCATCTCTTTTTAAATATAAGTTTCGCGAAATGTTATACAACGGCTACATACACCGGTAGTCTGCGGTAGCATTACGTAAGCGTCGCGCTGTGAATATAATTCTGAAATATATTATACGCGTTGAAATATATTCCGCGAAATTCCAAGGCACGCTCCTTGCTTCGCCGGTTTCTTCCTTTTGTTGCAGTTGCCCCATAATACTCGACGAAAGTAAATGTTGCCATGTGTGGTCAGATTTCGCACAAAAATGCAGGAAAACGCTCTCGCTGATTTTAAGTTACAACATCCCTTGGAATATACATTCAAATTTCATTACAAATAATTATCGCGTTTTTTTCTCACTTTAAATGTATGTAGAGTACCTACTTTTTTTCTCTCAGTCTACTTAATTTTCGTTAATTCGAAGTAAACTGTTATATTTCAAGTAAAAAGAATTTTTCTCTGTTTAATATTGGCCATTAAATGTATAATTAAATTATTTTTTTTTATTATTAAATTTGCAGTAACGGATTAGTCCTTATGGATTTATCGTTCGAAATTGGATTACTTCATGTATTTTGATTTCCCAGCGGAAATGTGTATTCAAATTGCTAATTGTGCGCGTTCGTTAATTTTTCCGCGGGTCACTCGGAAATTACAAAACTGCGTGTGCTTTTCTTTTCGTTTACGCGTTTATCATCTTTGCAAAATAACATTGCGGCGGCCGGGATTGAGAGCAATGAAATACAATTGCCAGCAAGTCAACTAAGCAAAGGCGCTGTTGGGAAGGCGAACGAGGGAAAAAAGAGTAGGACTGCCCGCGCGTTTTCTAAACTGAAGCTGGAGGGCTTTTTTTTCGCGAGCCCGCGAAACGTATAGCTACAATGGCGATGCGTATACAAATATACGAGCTTTGCGAGAGGCAGAACCGAGTCGGATTGCGCAAGGTTGGTAAATGCGGTCCGAGAACACAGTGAAAATACATAGCGCTACGCCGCGCCGCACCGCGCCGAACTACTATGTGTATATACGCGCCCTAGAAAA